GAAACGTTACGACTATATCAAGTATTTTGGTCATTTAAACGCATTGCACGCGCACATGCATGCACATCCCTGCATTGATTTTTGAAAGTAGCATGAAATAGGAATTCAGTACACCTACTGAGTATTCGAATTCATATTCTTAATTTCATTATGATTTGTTGAGAAGCAAGAAAGCTATAGGCATTTACATGTAAAGTTTAAGTCAATGAGATTGAGCCAAACGGAATGCGCGTGTTATAATGATAATTTTAAATTTTATGTAGTAGAACCTCGTATCACTACGTTTTAAGTTTCAAAGTATTTTGCAAAAAAAAAAAAGATACGAGGGTCATTCAAAAAGTTCGTAGACTTTTGTCCTAACTTTTTTTTTAACGTCACATTATATCCAAATTTCGTACACATAGTTAACAACAAAATCGAATAATTTGAATTAAAAATTGAAATATATCTTCATATTTGCATAAATTATCAAGGATTTAGAACGGAAAAAGTGGGGTCATGGAGCAACCTCAAAACTGCGTAGTTTACTTATTTTTACTTCATAGTATCTATAGCCAGAACTCAAATAAATGGAGCTGAAACAAAATAAAACTTACATGTTTAAATTCATTCCTGTTGTATTACTTAAGATGATATCAGGTAGTGTGATATATTGTTCCATTTGAAAGATATCAGTTTCTAAATGTAGACTTGATTAAAAAAGGCAAAAAACAATTACGTTGGAGGACGTCACGGAGCAGCGAGTAGCAATGAAATATTGCTTTGCATTCGGGAAACGTCTTTAACAAACTTTAAAAAAAATCTGTATAAACCAGAAAATATATGAAAAATAACCCGTGTATTTGTATAAAATGGAAAATACAATTTTTTAGTCGTAGCGAGTTTAAATCAGACGATTTATGTTCTGCAAAGAAAAGGGTTTTAAAATTAAAATCTTGTCAAAAGAGTTAAGAACGTCATTTAACGTGATGTGCGCTTCACTGTTGCGGATTTAATCGAGTTCCGCGGTAGGCCTAATGAATTTGAAAATAATGACAATCTTTATTTGCACAATTGTTAGCAAACTAGGTGTTTAGTGTTATGGATACGTTTTTATGAATGGAAAAGAGGCTACAAACTGTGTATGAAATTAAAAACCACAGTTATTTTGAGAAACTTTCTCGACGTTGTTTTTGACGTTACAATGTTAGTTAACCCTGCTCCGTGGTAACAAAACATGTTGCTTTAAAAATTGGCTAGCATGAATTCAATTTAATCAAATGGAATGAAACTTCACACTTCGACACAATAAATGTTTTTATTTACGAAAATGTGTTGATCTATAATCTTGTAATAATAATATAGCGATGAGGAACATCATCTACGTATTTTTTTAATTACCCTCTTAGATATCTCAATATCAAGCCGACGTTGTGTCCTTAGGAAAGGCACTTTACACGAATTTCCTCCTTCCACCCAAGTGTAAAAGGGGTACCAGGCTGAAGACAGTTGAAGATATTGTCAGAATGTTAGTGTTCTAGCGTTGATAACGACAGCTTGCACTCAGAAAGATTCTGGATTGTTAAGGTCTGCTGGGGTAATAATGTATTGTAAAGCGCTTTGAGTAGCATTTATGCTAGAAAAGCGCCATATAAAAACAATCATTATTATTGCAATCATTATATGATATCTTTGAGAGTCCCCAGAATCGCATTCAATTTGACTTTCAGAGGAGAGGAAATGCACTTGCAAACTGTTTATTACCATTGTCTTCTACAATAGCTTGTCTACACAATCATCTATGGCATACTTGTCTTTATTTTCTTTATTTCTGAAAATAGTGCAAAAACTATGTCGCCAACTGCAAGTGCAAGAGTTGTTTTTCTTGTTGGCTAGTTTACCTTTCAAAATAACTTTTGGGTAAAGTAATAAAAATTTGGTATTATATTATTTAATAATTAAAACTAATTTGATATTGTATACGAAACAAGTAGTTAAAACTAATTACACATGTATAATGTATAGTATTCTATTCTTTTAATTTTTATTTTTTTACAACACAACATTTACATTTGAAAATATTATTTTTCTTAGATGAAAAGAAAATACGTTCAATTCTGTGTTAATTTCATTTGGGGGTCAGAGGTCAAAGCGCGACTGCATCACAGAGCGATGTGATATTTTGACCAAACAACTTCTAGGTCATTGCGCATCACTACATAGCAAATTAGCAATACGTTGGCCCGTTCGTGTAATAGATAAAATTTACTCGTATTCGTTTCAAATGTAAATATAAGTAATAAACAACAATGTTCAAAAGTTCACTGGGAAATGAACTTTTAGTTGGTACGTGGTCAAATCTACTGAGAATCCCTTCGGGTTTCACAGGATTTGATCACATGACAAACTTAAAGTTCATTTCCCAGAGAACTTTTTAACATTGTTGTTTATTTCTTTAATACAATGTATTTACATTTACTGATGTCTTTCCTTATATACAAATGATATTGAAATTGAAATTCAATTTTCAATGACAGCAGTTGGTCAAATAGTCAGATTCGCTTGCATATGGAAAGCAAACTGCACGACGAGCCATTTGGAAAATTCAGATTATGACGTCACATGACATAGATACGTTATGGTGCATTTCCATTACAAAGTCTAAATAGTGCCTATTTTTCCTTGTCATACAAATATAAAAAGAAAACAAATATATAAGAAATAAAATATCATTTTTAGATTTTCGTTGGGAATGACATGAAGTCGGTACGTAAGGCCAAAATAAAAAATGCCTAATATGTTTCCCCTAACGCGACCAGCCCAATAAAATCGTGCCGACTGAAAAAAAAAAATCAATAAGATGATTCAAACATTTTTTTTTATTGTTAACCAAGTTTTATATAATAAGATTTAATCTCAACCAGTTTCTATCAAAAAGGCTTACATTGTTCTACTGTGATTTTCAATCATTGGAAACAAAATTGACGTCCAGATGTGATTACAGAGAATTATATTAGTTCTTCGTAAAACAACGGCGACGTCTCAATCTTATGCATTTAGCTAATTAGAATTCTTCACTCTTGAAACAATTTGATAATTAAACAATATTATCACAGATAATTCAATTTATGCCGCTATGAGAAAGATATCATATTTTACACCTTAGGATAATTCCGCATATCCCTGCGCAGTCTGCAGCCCAATCAAAATCCTTGATTTTGTTGCGCCATTTTTGTTAGCCTGGTAGTGCGTTGAAAAAAAAAATGTTTGTGCAAAAGGGGACCTGCGTACATGTGGCCTAAGATTAATTATTGGTCAGCTTCTTAGGGGAGAGTCATCGGTTCCTGTAATTTATGCCGTGGAAACTATTTCGGTGGAGGCACAGAAGGTTTTTTTGGCAGAACTCGTTAAACACTGCAAGGGTTGCTTTTCACTTCGACAACCCTCTATGAAGAATTTGAAACACGGGAACTGCTTTTGCCCATGCATTGGAGAAGTTCTAGGAATGCAGTGATTGTGCATTCCCGTCAATTAAGGGCAGTATTGTTTTTGGTCAATATAACAAAACAAATAATGTTTCAACGTTTACATATTTGGAGAAGCTCTAAAAACATTATTTTATTCATACGTTATTTTGGTTAAGCTGCATACCTTTATAAAATGCAGGCTAACTGGCGGTGCTAGAGGGCAAATCATTTTCATAACTTATATTTATTTACCATATGTACCTGTTACCACTTCATGTATGATTTGTGATTCTGATGTTCAGTAATTAAATATTATGGATGTAAAGTTCCCGATCCGGAAATTTTCCCGGTACAGGTTTGATTACTATGTGTTTTGTTTATGTTTCCGCCCAAGTCAATGGAGCAGCATTTTAACATGTGCTTGGTCTTTTCCTAGCCTCACAGGAGTAAGTAATTATATAAATGCATAAAATTTCATGAAAAATAATGTTTAGGACAAATTTGAATTGTATTATACCTATGATACTGTTAAATTCACATGTCTGGATTATTTGTAGCAAAATGTCAGTCTGTTTATCTATAGTCATGTACGAGAAATTATTGTCAATGTCAATTATTATGTTTTTTTGGTAAATCTAGATGATATGTATGTCAAATATTTATGATTCTTTTTTAATTGTTTGTAGTTTTTTACCCTCTTCACGAGGCGGAGTGTCAGTTCCAATAAAAATAAAATCTGGAAACATTACAGTAAAAAATCCTGTTTATTCGGCTGACTGTTTGTATGGATCAAGGTCTCAGGACACAAAGAATCATGAGCAGTGTGGGCAAGAAACAGTTTGATGAATCAGCATCTCGAGTGAGTTCTAAACTAACAGAAACACTATTACATCACACTGCAAAGGTCGAGCAGGCCCGTGCGCAGAAGAAGAAGCAGATTTGATCAGACAGGAGGCTGCCATCAAGGCCAGCAGAACTGTGTTAGCACGTAAGAAAGAACTGGAAGCGGCAACCTTAGGACTAGAAGCCGTGAGAAAGGTTTTGGAATTTTCAGATGTTGGTGAAAGTGTTTTTGGTGAATATCAAGATCCCAATAAAGAACATTTGATGGAGCGATATTTGAATGAAAATATGAGAATGAACGCTCCTCCACCTGATCCAGTGCTGAATGAAATACCTTCCCCTGCAATTGTAGATGCGCATGATATTAAAGTGTCTGAACCTATACAGAACTCATTGATTTCCGTTGTTCCCCAGGTTTTGCAACAGACTAACACAAAGCAGGACACTGTATTCGATCTTGCAAAGGCAGTAGTAAAGAATCAAATGATTCCACAAAGACTTTGGAAATTCAGTGGTGAACCTGGACGGTATATTACCTGGAAACACAGTTTTCTAAATGTTATGAAAGACATCAATTCTATCCCATTGGAGCAACTAGATCTTTTATTGAACAACCTCTGACAAGGGTGTAAACTGCAGTGCGAAAATATAAGAACTACAAATGCTCGCAATCCAGAGAGGGCTCTCACACAAATATGGGAAAGACTGGACATGGAGTACGGTAGCCCTGAAGCAGTTGAACATGCTATGAAGCAGCGCATCATTAACTTTACACCGTTAATGGAGAATGATAGGAAACGTTACTTTGATCTGTACGACCTAGCTGCTGAAGTTGAATCCTTGAAAAGTGATGAAGCCTATGGATCAGCCTTCGCATATTTTGACTCCACAACTGGAATAAATGACTTTGTTCGAAAATTGCCAAAGCGTTTTCGGGAGAAATGGATGACAACGTGTGACAAATACAAGGTCAACAATGGAGTGTCTTATGTGCCTTTCCAAGTGTTGGTGAATTTCTTGCGAGACCTTTCTAGGCTTAGAAACGACCCTGGTTTGATATTGGAGAACTTACCTCAGAATACAACCACACAGCATCCACCACAAAAAAAGCCGGCACAAAAGTCAGACGTATTTGTTCGCAAAACAACTGTAGCACCAGATCGTCATGAATATGAAGCTGACAGTGACATTTCCTATGTACGGTGTCCCATTCATGGAGGAAATTCCAACCATGCTCTGCGAGATTGTCAGAAACTCTGTAAGAAACCTTACAAAGAGAAAATCGATTTCCTTTTTAAGAAAGGATATTGTCTGAAATGTTGTGGCCAGAAACGTCATTTAAAAAAGAACTGTCATGAGTCGGTCAAGTGTGAAAGATTTAATTCGACGGAACATGTGACTATTCTTCATCCAGACTCTGCAGCTTGGAAAGTCCAGGAGGGGGAGCAGTCTGATGTGAATACATGTTGCACAGAAATATGTAATGTACCCCAAAACACTTCTAAATCTTGTTCGAAAATTGTGTTAGTGTCGGTGTTTCCAGAGGGAGAGCGTTATCGAGAACGAAAAGTTTACTGTCTGATAGACGACCAAAGCAACAGATCCTTGGCATCACCATCGTTTTTTGATGCTTTCAACATACGTGGCCAAGAGACAGAATATGTGCTATCAACATGTACAGGGAGATCTGTTACATCTGGACGGAAAGCATCGGGATATGTAGTGCGCTCACTAGATGGATCATGTACTCTCACATTACCAAGCCTCATTGAATGTGATGAGATACCTGACAACAGGAACGAGATTCCATCTAAAGCTGTTGCGCGAGGTTATTCACACTTACAGGATATTGAGAAATGTATTCCTGAGATTGACGAGAGTGTCTATATTGAACTTTTGATTGGTCGTGATCTAATAACAGCACACCATGTATTTGATCAAAGAATAGGAACAGATGTCTTACCTTTTGGTCAAAAACTACCCCTTGGCTGGGTGATAATTGGGAACGTTTGCCTCGGTAAGACCCATCAACCTGAGACTGTCAGTGTTTTGAAGACTTCCATATTGTCAAGTGGAAGAGCCACACATTTGATTCCATGTGAAAGTGAGATCTTGGTGAGAGAATGTGACATTTTTACACGTCTACCGTGTGATGAAAAACCAGGCCTCTCAATAGAAGACAAGAAGTTTCTTCACGTCATGGAGTCAAGTTTTCATAGATCTAGCGACGGATTTTGGGAAGCGCCATTACCCTTTCGGGAGGGTAGACAACCTCTACCAGACAACCGGTCAATGGCCCTGCATAGAGCCAAGTCGTTTGATGCCAACTTGCGTTCTAACACAGAAAAGAAAAAACAAGTCATCGAATTTGTAGAGAAACTTCTACAGAATGAGCATGCAGAATTGGCTCCCAAACTTCCCGTTAATGTTGAGCGATGGTACTTACCAATGTTCGCTGTATTCCATCCGAAGAAGCCGGAGAGCATTCGTGTGGTGTTTGATTCGTCGGCAAAATATCAAGATGTGTCATTGAATTTTGTGCTTCTTCAAGTACCTGACTTGCTGAACAGTCTGGTTGGTATCCTTCTTCGATTCCGTCAGGAAAAGGTAGCCATTACCGTGGACGTACAACATATGTTTTATAATTTCAAAGTACCAGAAGAACAACGATGTTATTTGCGTTTTATATGGCATCAAGACAATGACTTCAATCAACCCCTTGTTGATTATCAAATGACTAGACATGTATTTGGCAATACTGCATCGCCAGCAGTGGCCAATTACGGATTCCGCAAAGTTGTAGAAACTGCTGACCAAGATGTACAGAACCTTATCAGAGAGAGCTTCTACGTAGATGACGGATTGGTATCCTGTAGAACTGTTGAACACACCGTTGACCTTGTCCTTCGCACAAAGCAAGCCTTACATGACAACGGCAGAATAAGACTCCACAAGTTTGCGTCAAACAGCAGAGAGGTGCTTATTGGGCTAGACCAAGGTGACTTAGCAAAGGATTTAAAGGATCTTGATTTAGGAACAGCTACTCTTCCCACCCAGAGAAGTCTAGGCCTACTTTGGAATACAGATACAGACACCTTTACATTCAAAGTCAGCTCTGTTGAAAGGTCTTACACTCGACGTGGACTGTTATCTGTAATCAACAGTGTCTTCGACACTATTGGCTTTTTACAACCTGTCATTATTGAAGGAAAACTCTTACTTCGTGAAATGATGTCTGTGACCAGTAAAACTGATTGGGACGACCCATTACCAGAACCACTGTACAACAAATGGATCTCATGGATGAACTCTTTAAGCTACCTTGAGACTCTTCACATACCTAGAATGTACAGCGATATCTCGTTTGAGGATGCCACCCATAGAGAGGTTTTGGTATTTGCAGATGCATCAAAGAATGCAGTGGCAGCAGTTGCGTACCTCAAGTTGAGTGATGAGAAAAAATCTACAATCAGCTTTCTGCTAAGTAAAGCAAAACTTGCACCAACACATGGGCACACATTCCTCGCCTAGAGTTGTGTGCAGCTGTACTTGCCACCGAGATCGCAGAAAATGTGCGAGATCAGCTGAAGGTTCCTCAGAACAACTTTCACTTCTTTACAGATAGTCAAGTTGTGCTTGGATATATTTCAAATGAAACAAGGAGATTTTACATTTATGTTGCTAATCGTGTTGGGAGAATACGTCTTTTTAGTGAACCATCGCAGTGGCATCACGTTAGAACAGAATGTAATCCTGCAGATGTAGCTACTCGTACCATTGATGCGTCACAACTTGAAGATTCAGCATGGCTTCGTGGTCCAGTGGAGACACCTGAAATAACAACCAAGTCAGAGTTTGAACTTGTTAATCCAGAACATGACATTGAAGTTCGACCAGAAGTCACTAGCTGCAAGCAAGAAGTGGGTACAGAAGATTGCTCTAAAACATCAAACCACTTTTCAGACCGCTTCTCAAGATTTTCATTTTGGAACAGACTGGTTAGGACAGTTGCTCGTATCAAGTATTGGGCTCGCTGCAAACGAAGGACTGAGACATCCTGTACTCGATTTGATCATCCTCAGTTGTTAATGGACAGTGAAATTGCAATAATTGCGTGTGTTCAAAGAGACAGTTATATGGAAGAAATGAAGAAAATGAAAGAGTCAGGCAGAATTCCACACAACAGTACCATCCTATCTCTCTCTCCTGTGTTGGACAGTGAAGGTGTTCTTAGAGTTGGTGGGAGACTGAACAAAGTGAATGAAGCAGAACTGAGTGGGCAACAGCGCAACCCAATAATTTTACCGAAAAACCATCATGTCAGTCACTTGCTTATTGGTTACTTTCATTCAGAAGTATTTCACCAGGGACGCCATTTCACAGAGGGTGCTGTGCGTGCGGCAGGATATTGGATTGTTGTTATGAAGAGAAAAGTTTCCTCTTTCATCAGCAAGTGCGTGATGTGTCGTAAGCTACGGGGTAAATTCAGTCAACAAAAGATGGCAGATCTTCCGGAGGATCGCTGCAAACCAAGTCCACCCTTTTCATATGTAGGCGTTGATACATTTGGTCCGTGGATGGTGGCATTCCGTCGCACAAGAGGAGAAAGTGCTAATCAGAAACGATGGGGCCTATTATTCACCTGTCTAGTGACCAGAGCCATCCACATTGAGATCATAGAACAACTCACAAGTTCGTCTTTTATCAATGCGCTCAGACGTTTTGTTGCATTACGTGGACCCGTGACCCAATTCCGATCTGATCGTGGTACCAATTTTGTGGGAGCGTCAGAAGATTTGTCTATTAACGTAGAATTTATCGAGAAGGGACCAGTGCAAGACTTTCTCTCGAACTGTCGCACTACTTGGAAGATCCTCCTCATGCCCCACACATGGGAGGGGTGTGGGAACGACTTATTGGGACAGTCAAGCGTATACTGAATTCCATGTTATTGCAACGACAAGGTAGAGACTTGACACACGAAGAACTCACAACACTCATGACAGAAATATGCGCCATTGTTAACAACAGACCACTGATGGATGTGACATGTGATCCGGACTCACCACACCTACTTACGCCGTCGATGCTACTTACCATGAAGACTTACCCAGATGTCGAGCCATTTCCACCCCTTGGAACAAAGGATGCTCTTAAGTCATCTTGGAAAAATGTTCAAGTCTTGGCAGAAGAATTTTGGCGACGGTGGAAGTCGGAATATTTGCACCAATTGCAAAAACGTGAAAAGTGGACAGAACAGTCAAGGAATATCAAGCCTGGAGATGTGATCCTTCTCAAAGATGAGTCCCCTCGCAATGAATGGCCTTTGGGAGTCGTGCACCGAACATTCGAAAGTGGAGATGGACAAGTTAGAAAAGTAGAAATAGCTATTGTAAAGGATGGAAAACAAGTTTTGTGTTTAAGACCAATAGCAGATCTAATTCTTTTGTTGGAAGTTGATGAGTGAATATTCTATTTTTTGTCCTCTTTGTGAGATACACATTGGTCACTGATGTACTATTTTACAAATGTACCCTACATTGTATCAACATTTTACGTAACAGTTAGTTATGTTATTTTCATATTCATGAACGTAATGAATGCCCAGGGTAAATTTTTGTTGTTATGGTGATTTTTGACAAAATCAGAGGGGGAGTGTAAAGTTCCCGATCCGGAAATTTTCCCGGTACGGGTTTCATTACTATGCGTTTTGTTTATGTTTCCGCCCAAGTCAATGGAGCAGCATTTTAACATGTGCTTGATCTTTTCCTAGCCTCACAGGAGTAAGTAATTATATAAATGCATAAAATTTCATGAAAAATAATGTTTAGGACATATTTGAATTGTTTTATACCTATGATACTGTTAAATTCACATGTCTGGATTATTTGTAGCAAAATGTCAGTCTGTTTATCTATAGTCATGTACGAGAAATTATTGTCAATGTCAATTATGTTTTTTTGGTAAATCTAGATGATATGTATGTCAAATGTTTATGATTCTTTTTTAATTGTTTGTAGTTTTTTACCCTCTTCACGAGGCGGAGTGTCAGTTCCAATAAAAATAAAATCTGGAAACATTACAATGGAAATAATAGCATTTATGTCGAAATTATTTTCCATTTAATTTTTAACTTGTATCGTTTCCCTGATTATGATACCCTCTTTTCATGGAGAGAATTATCAGATGTCTCGGCGAATGAAATCTCACTTACGTATCATGCGTACTTAATCTATTTACAGTCATTGTTCCATTTGAATAATCCGCAGCTGCATCAAAATTGTGAATTTTATATGACTGTTTGATTCTGCAATTTTATTTATCCTGCTTACACTGAAGTTAATAACTTGCCTGATCATGGAACCTGCATGTTTACGCATAGTTTATGGCGGTGTTATCCTCGTTGGGTGATCGAATCATTGTTTACACATCGAAATATTGGCTTGTTACAAACACATGCATGTGTTAAATCAAGTATTAAACTTTCTTTAGTGCCCATGCACGTGTTAAATCATTTCAGCAGATCAAACTTTCTTCTATAGTATATTATGATAATTACTAAATTAAGGCATTTCTATGTGTGCCATTTATAATAGTTCCATCATTAGAACATTGTTTTTTTTTTACTTATGGGAAATGTATGTTGTGTCATTGCGATTTGAATGCATTTTTAATCTTCTGCATTATGCAGTATGCAAATGTGAGAAAATGAAATAAACAGAGAGCAATTGATTATCGGCACAAAATGTGTCAAGGGGGTTATCGGTCAATTAACCTGTCCGCTGATCTACACATGTTTGCTTTTTTTATGAATCTGTGTTCGAGGTCAATTGGGTTACGGGATGTCAGCTGGAGTATCGTGGATTGTACTTTGGCCTCACCGGTGGTTCTCGGGGAGTCTCTCCTATCCTCTCTGATCCTAGCTCCGGATGGAGTCCATCTGCAGTAAACTCCATTCACTGTCCAGCTTACAGTGTATGAGGAATGTTCTTTTGATTGTGCATTTTATCATCTTTTCAAAGAAATGAAACCAGTACACCATTTTCTCTTCTATATTATTATTATATAGCCTTAATTAAATTATGCTCAGCTCAAGGCTATATAAAGAGTTGTGTACTGTTCCATACAATACCATACTTATCCAGTTAACAATTTACAGAATGCTGAACACAGTTTCTCTAATGATTCAAAGATATCAATGAAGTTGATAATCATTTTTTGCAGCAATTGAAAAAGGGAACATTTGGTAATTGCCATATATTTGAAGACATATTAAGTTTATTAACTAGCGGTCTTACATATAATTCTTAAGGGGGATTATTCCTGTAAGAAAGACTCAGCATTGTTTAATATATTTTTATGTTCAGCAAAATCCTTGTGGTTTTTGAAACATTCAATATATCAATTTTTTATGCTATAAGTAGAAATATTGGGAGATAAATGGTTCAGTATTTTAAAAAAAATCCAATATTTGAAATACAAATTATGCAATCATTCTGAATCAGTGAAATGTTTTCAATATTCCATTATAGCCTTGCAATCAATTATATTTTTAATATATTGTTTCACTTAAACAATGTGCAGTAGAAACTTGTTTTCTATATTTCATTTGAAATATTCTAACAGTACTATTTTCAATAGTATCATGGTATCAAAAAAAAAAAAGAAAAGAAAAAAGGAAGAAAATATAATGTGCATTTTAATAAATAAATAAGTAGAGAAATTCAGAAAATGTTTAAAAACATTTTAGTATGAACATTAAGAATATGTTCAAGATACTTGTGAAACAATTCAATATATTGTTCAAATATTTGTGGAAACATTCAGTATAATATCGGATAGTTTGGTTTTGGTTTTAGTGAATGTTTAAAGTTTTGAGGGAAACATTCAGTATAATGATTAAAAGTTTTCCTGATAATTAAGTACTTTTATTTCAAAATTTTGGGAAAACATTCAGTTCAATGTTTCATTGTTTTTGTGCTAACATTCAGTATAAGATTTCAAACTTTTGAAGAAACATTCAGTGTCTCATTGTGAAAATATTCATTATAATTAGTATTTCAAAGTATTTGTCTTAAACATTCAGAATAATGTTTCAAAGTTTGTGTCGAAACATTCATTATGATAATTCAAGTTTTTGAGGAAACATTTAGCATAATGTTTCAAGTTTTTTGTGGAAGCATTCAGTATAATGTTTCAAAGTTTATGTCGAAACATTCAGTATAATGTTTCAAGTTTTTAGGTCACCTGAGTAAACTCAGGTGACCTATTGCTATCTGTTTGCGTCCGTCGTCGTGCGTCGTCCGTCGTCCGTCGTGCGCCGTGCGTTAACAATTGAACATTTTCAGCTTCTTCTCTGCAACCACTCAACCAATTTCAACCAAATTTGGCACAAAGCATCTATGGGTGAAGGGGAACAAAAATTGTGAATTTCATGGTCCCTGCCCCCCTGGGGCCTGAGGGGTGGGGCAAAAACCTGTTAAATTAATGAAATCTTTAAAAATCTTCTTCTTTACTCCTGGACATCAAGCAGTCAAACTGTTTGCATGACTGTAATCAGTATTGAGTCCTCTACCAAAATTGTAAAATTCATGGCCCCAGGGTCAGGGGTTCTAGTGCTAGGGCGGGGCTAAATGGATTATATGGTGAAAATGCATAAATTCTTTGAGAATCTTCTTCTCTGCTCCTGGGCATTCAATAAACTAACCAAGTACATAGTTATGTTGAATAAGGTGGCTTCTACCAAAATTGTGAAATTCATGGTCCCAGGGTCAGGGGTTCTAGTGCTAGGGTGGGGCTTTATTGATTATATAGTGAAAATACATTAATTCTTTAAAAATCTTCTTCTCTACTCCTGGGCATTAAATAAACTAACCAAGTCCATAGTTATGTTGAATAAGACTGCCTCTTCCCAATTTGTGAATTTCAGGGCCCCTGGGTCAGGGGTTCTTGTTTTAGGGTGGGGCTCCAATGATTATATAGTGAAATGCATGAATTCTTTGAACATCTTATCCTTTGCTCCTGGTTAATATGCCAATGATCTTATTACATATTCAAGGCCAGGATTTATTTTATTTTCAGGTTTACAAACCCACCGCATTTTCAGAAAGAAATTAAAAAAAACATTTTTTTTTCCTACTGATATCAAATTTGAGTCGGGATCGAGATTTCAAATTTATGAACTCCTACTTCCGGTTTTAAAACAAACTTGGCAGGTAACAAAGCTAGATCTGCAAAGATAGCTTGGTTTATTGTAAAATTCATCGATAAGAGTGCCATTCAAAACGTTTCACGCGTTCAAAGAACAAATAAAATGCTGACGACTTTGTTGCACAGTGACTAGTTAGAATAATCTAACTGTGTCTCCGTACAAGCCCTCACCACAGTTAGAATACGTCCCATATACTTGCAATGTAGCAAATCGGAGCGGATCCGCTCCGAAACGATTTTGAAGAATATAAAATGATTTGCACTGGAAATAACTACCAAAATAATCAAAACAAACCTTTTTGAGATTGCTTATGCCTTTTATCCCAGAAAATAATCCATCTAAAGACGAAAATCCAATTAATTTTCTCAACGTTTTTCTCTCGCTTCAAATTTACCTGCCATGTTTACATTCGGAACTCTCTAGATTGTTCCTAGTAAATGCACTAGTACGACTTTTCTTCGAGTTATCGCCCGTGTTTCTTTTGCTACATTACGAATACACGGAACGAATTCTATCGTTAAACCGGGTCCATAGGACAATATCATTTTAATGATAGAACGTTCTATCTACACAGTGACATGCTGGTGAGATAATTTTGTATTCGTTTCAATCAAAAGTATCTGTCTGTGAATTATTTTCCTCCCCACAGGTTTAAAACTGCCCGTGGTAGCTATTCCAGCAACATTGTTTAGGTCTCTGTTATAGCTTAAAGTCTAAGCATCATTCTTA